AAAGAAATAATTGCATACAATCTCAATTTAGCTGAATGTTTTAATGATACCCAGAAAACCAAAACACTGTTTCCATAGTTTTAGGTCAACAGTATGATTTTTTTTATTGAAAAGAGACCAGGATGTCACAGCTGTTTTCTGTGTATTTGTCGGTAACATTGTGTTTTACTGACTGTTTTGAATCGGGCAGGCAGGGGTGTGTTGTGGCAGATAGATGGACAGATGGATGATTGCTGCTATCTCTGAAAACACAGGCTGTCTTGTTCTCAGTCTGTCTTTGTCTGCCGATCGTCATCTGCCTTTTTTCTGTTGTCCTGCCTCTTAATCTGTGTCTTGTGCACAAACCCACAGTTATTGATCATAAATTCACATACGCATTCACTAAATCACATACTGTAATTCTATGACAGCCAGTTAGTGAGGTGTTTTAAAATTATCATAGCAAAAGGATGAATTTCCAGAAGGAATCAGTATAGAACATTTTCAACAAATCAAGGAAGCCCAGTACTCCCATGTAGAAAACTGCAAATATTTATCTGTTGGCTTTTATGTGGCAGAGATAAAGAAGAGAAAGAAACAGTCCAATATTGGTTTTTGTTTATCAGAATCTCAGAATCAGAAAAAACATGGATTAACTTGTTTTTCCTCTCCTCCTCTCAGGGCTCTGGTGTTTGTTTCCCATGGGGCTGGAGAGCATAGCGGGCCATATGAGGGGATTGCACAGACACTAAAGGACCAGTCCCTGCTGGTATTTGCACATGACCATGGTGAGTCATACACCTTTCGCTACATTAGCATGCACTTATATTTACACACTGTTGCCCTCATGTTCATCAGTTGTTCACACACAAAATAGCTTGTGCAAAAAAACATCCACTCTCTGTCTGATAACAGTTTGTTTCAGTTTGTTGTTCTAGTGCCACAGCACTGGGTGAACTGGTTCTGAACTCAGATAAGAAACAGAGCAGTCACACAGATAACTATTTTATATACACTGTATATATAACTGTTTATAGGCATTTAACTGATTCTCATTAACCAAAGCAAATGACTATATACAGGTAACGGTCTGAAAGTGATGTTCAAAAATGCTATTCAAGTATCACAGAGTCCCTTAGTGGGCTTTAAAGGCTCACGCAGTAGACTGACCCAAGACCAAGAGATAAAAGCTTACAAAAGACAAATGAAAGAGAGATCCACCCTATTTAGAGGATCAAGAAACTGGCATTTATTGCAGGACTGTTGTATTAAACTGCATTGGTTTTAGTTAACTCCAGCTTACTGGGGACTCTAAACTGTCCATACGAGTGAGTGTGGGTGTGTGTGGTTGGCTGTCTGTCAGCCCCGTGATAGACTGGCAGCCTGTCCAGGGTGTAACCCGCTCAATGTCATGGGACTGGCTCCACAGCTGTATTATGATAATATAAAATAAATAAATTTAAAAGCTTTTAAAAGACTCAGCCAAGCATCAGTGTAAGGTTTTGCCTGTTGCAGTTCTTCCAACCATGCAGCGGTGGATTTGTATTCTGCATTGTGTGCGTGCTTGGTCGTGTGTCTGCACTGTGATGACCACTTCACTATTGACAAGCAGAAAAACAAACAGGGTGAAGAAGTCTTGCCACACACAGTAAATATGTATTTATGAATACACATACACACAGGCTTAAAATTACAGAGCGAGAGCAAGAAGGTGCGAGCTGCACATGTTGTGAATGTTTAGGAGCTCACTGGTGTTATTGATTCAGTGGTTTCCAAGGCAACCAGCCTCACCTCTCAGCCACTTCTGCAGGAAGCTCGAGGAGAACACATGTACTGTATATGTATGCATATGCACATACATATTCATATATTTTTCCTTCTCTCTTTATGTCAGTCACATTTCTCTGTCCTGTCTTCTTCTCATCCTGTTCTCCTTCCCCTTCGTTCTCTTCCATCCTGCTCTTTCTCATCTATTTTTCTTCCTCTCGTGCTCACCCTCATTTCTCCATCGTCCTCCTCCTCCTCCTCCCATTTTGTCCTCTGTAGACTCAGTTTCTTTGTCAACCCCTTCCTCCTTTGTTCCCTCCTTATTTCCCATTACTATTTCTCCCTTAAATTCTCACTTTCATCCCTCCCTCATTTCTCATTTTGATGATACACTTTATGTACTGTAGGTGTGATTCTCATTTTAGCCCTGAAAAAGAAGCAAGTGTTGTTAAAATGATTAAGCATCTTTAGCCATGAACATTTCCATCTTTTGGAGGCATTAAAAATAAACTTAGTGGGCAGATATTATGTAGCCCCCACTTTCCTCACACCACTCTGATCTTCTTCTCTTTTTCCCGCCATAGTTGGCCACGGTCAGAGTGAAGGAGAAAGAATGAACATCAAAGACTTCGAGATTTACATCAGAGACGTCCTGCAGCATGTTGACCTGATGAAGTCACGCCATCCCGACTTACCCGTCTTCATCTTGGGGCACTCCATGGTAGGACACGTTCCATGATCTGTTTCAGCAACTGGAATACCCCATGCAGTTTGTTTATTTATTTATTTTTTTGTTAGTGGCAGGTGATGTCTTTGGGTGTTGTTTCACTTTAATCACACTATTATGTTTCAAATAATAGCTCTGGGGATACTGAAACTCCCACTCTGATCCAGGTTTGTTTGCCTGTTTTGTGTGGTGTGAAATTGCATAATATGCTTTCAGTGGATTTCACAGCTCCTGGTATAATGTGCTTCAGACACACACACACACACACACACACACACACACACACACACAAACACACAGTTGCAAGAAAATGAAGGGCAATCTCTGTTCAAGCAAAGGAATGAAAAATACAGAGAACAGTGTTAAGAGGTTTTCTGCAACAATATGATATTCAAATTAAAGAAGTGCTACCCGCTCTTCTTTCAGGATGAAGTTGTTTTATGTCCCGAAATAGCCAGCCATGTGATGGGGTGATGTTCTGTTCAGGACTGAATGAAATCTGGATAAAAAAAAATAACTGTAGAATCGAGCTGTATAATATCACTGTCA